GAAAACCCTAGACGCCAGATTAGTTTAAGTAAGGTTATTAGTCGTTCGTACTATACGAACTGTTTCATACTGTACGAGTTATTTTGAATACTTACTTAAATTAATCCTGTGATTAGTGGAAGAATCAAGGATTAATTTTTGATTGGTTATCGTACTGTACGACCATGTTCATACTGTACGATCAATCGAAGCTATTTCTTATCATCCTGGACTTCGTACTAGACTATCCCTTGATTTTGACTAATCGTACAGTACGAAGTAGGTTGTACCCTACGATGTACAGAGATGATTTTTTATCATCTCGGCTATCATCCTGTACAAATAGAAGAGTTTTAAATTTTGTACGGTACGAGTTTATATTGTACTGTACGAATGTATTCAGATTATTTGACCTGTTCGTAAACCTTCATACCAGGATGAAGCTCGTTTGTACTAATCATATTGTACGATAGTAACGGCTATTTTGAAAATACAGGGTTTTTTTAAGCCTGTTTTAAGTATCAAAATAATAGTTTTTTGATGTGTGACTGTGAGAGAGGAATGTGTTTAGAGAGGGTTTCCTTGGGAGAGAGCTCTAGAGAAGATTTTAGGGTTTGTGAGAGGAAGGAGAAGGTGGGCTTGGAGGGAGGAGTGTGAGGGAGATCACACGGTTGCTCCGAGCTTACTGCACTTTGCTCCTCATGTGGCCTAAGAAGATCTTATGGGAGGCTCTCTAAGGGGGTGACTCTTCCACATCCATGTCCTCTAAGGTACTATGCCTTCTCTAGGAGGGAGAAAAATAAGAAGGTACGCTACCGTCGTTAGGAGGGTGACAAAGTGCTTGGCACTTCGCCACGCCAGGTTGGTGAAAGTGAGGTTTGTAAGGGCTTCTCCGCCTTGCCGAAGGGGGCAAAAGGAGAACTATTATTTAGTAGTGAAATTCCTGGAGTGGAGGACTCCAGGGAGTGGACGTAGGTCAAGTGACCGAACCACTTTAAAATCTCTGGTGTGATTTTTCCCTTACCGCTTTTATTTTCACTTGCATTTTATTTTCATTATAATTGCTTGGTGAAAATCATTGTGGAATTAGTTGATGCAAATTGTGTTCAAGTACTCGCTTCCGCATTAGTTATTTTTTTCTGTTTAAAATTTAAAAACCAAAAAAATATTAGAACTCACTTGCATTTTATTTTCATTATATTGCCATATATATCACTATCAAATAATCCTCCTAGCAATAGGGGTTATCGTTCGGGGACACATTAAATTGGCCATAATAAGATTAACATGATTATTGACTACTTCTTGGTTCCCACCTCCACACTCAAGAACAATAATAACTTGAATGGTGGCTCCGAAACCTTGACCATTGACACCATGCATATTTCTCATCTAAAATCAAAGTACTATTTTAAAAGAGATGTGGGGTCGATGCTAATGGGTTCAGGCTAGTTGAGGCTGTCGAAGCCAATGTCTTGGCCAGTGGGACCATAATTATAATTCCATGAGATTTGTAGGGGGCCACACCCATAGTACATCTTCCATAGGCATGGGTAATCTTGAGAATTGAAGTCACAATATGCATTGGATTTATCTCCATGTTCTTTGTAGCACATGTATGCTCATATTAATATTTTCATTTTTTGTATAAATAATGTGGTCAAAACTTAAAAGATAATAATAAGAGAAAGTAGCTTAGTATCAAAATAGTTATTAACATTTAGTCCATATTATAGTTCTTAAGCAAGCAAGAAAAGCTTAAACAAGATACTTTGCCCAAAAAAATAGTCCATAATATTATATCCAAAGTTGTAGTCTCGATGTGTTTTAAATCCATCAAATTTACTTTGAGATGGATGCCATGCAAGATTTAATTGATTACCCATGTATAACATCCATCTCAAAATAAATCCAACTATTTAAAAAAAAAATTCCAATCAATTTTTAAAATCATGAAATTATGATACTAATTTTTTACATTTTTGCTAGCTTACTAAAAGATCTTATATTTAACTGAATAAAATCTTGATATTACATTCAACATGCACATATTATATATATCTAGCTTAATTTTATTCATCCAATAGTTAGTGTAAATTGTCAAATAATCTAATTACACTAAAAAAATAATAAGTGGCATGCAAAATTGAGAACACATATAATAAAAATAATCTTATTCTTATAGAAAATAGAAAATTTTGAAGATTTTGAAAATCATCTTTATTAAAATTAAACTCCTACTTATGGTCTTTTAGTAAGAAAATGTTATTTTGCTTCTGCCATTGTTTGGATTAATGAGAAAATAAGGTATTGGTTTTCATAGTTTTTCTTTTTAATCATTGGAATTGAGCTTAGTCATGATTTTATAGGGATTTTTTGCATTAATGTTATTAAATTCTTATTCATTTACATATATAATACATAAATTTTTATAACTTACTAATCTCAAAACCACATTAATAAAAATATTGTAATTGATGAAGATTATATTGTTTTCCTCATTGGTACGGCGTTGCAATTTAAATGTTCTCCTTCTTTGCTTCTTAGAGAAAGATATTTGAAAGTTTTTCTTTTTTTAAAAAAAGAAGCAAATAGCTACATTAATGACTAAAGAAAACAATACAAACTACAAGCTAGTAGCGTCTGATTCCTCCTTCAACAAGTTAATAAGAGAAGGATGAACCTTATTTATAATAATGTCTTCTCAGATAAAAGAGCTAAAGATAGCATAGTTAGTACAAAGATCTGCTAACTTATTACATTTTCTATCTATATAATTAAAAATTACATAATTGAAATCTTATTTGAAAGTTCATTTAAAGAAAAAAATATACCCACTAGAAGTAGAATTTAAACCTCTCTAATTATAAAATTGTTTTGAAGAAAATAATTTTTGTAAAAGTTATTGTGAAAATAACAATTTTTTTTAATTGAATAGCATCTTTGATTCCCTACGAGAAGGCCAACAAAGAGATGTGAAGCACAATGAAATAGGGTGGCGGATAAAAACTAATCATTTTTGTCCAGCTGAAGGAATGAAAGCTCAAGCACAGCCGAAAGCCTCCTTGATATAGGAGAAATTATTATGTGTAGAGTCCGGACGTAGCTCTCTGTCATGACTCCAATGTGTACAAGCGACGTGTCTTAGTGATACATATTGGAGTCTTGATGCGACCGGACTCTGCACGTAATAATTTTACTTGATAGCGTCAAAATTCTTCCAGCACATAAGACATTTTTTTAATCAGAAGATATAGTGTTAATTATTAATGAATATTGTTTCCCAACTTTCTATTGTTCTTTCACCATTTCAAAAATAGTGATGCAAGATTAAAGATTACGGCTTCGTTTGATTCGGTTTATGCTTACATAAAAAGGAGTTTTAAAAAAGGAGGTTGGGAAAAAGTCGTTCAATAAAATGGAGTTTCAATAATGA